CTACTAGCATCACCACCCTCCACTACCAACTACTAGCATCACCACTCCTCCACTACCTACTACTGCATCACCCCTCCACTACCAACTACTAGCATCACCACTCCTCCACCTACCTACTACTAGCATCACCCTCCTCCTACCTACTACTAGCATCACCTCCTCCACCTGCTACTAGCATCACCACTCCTCCACTACCTGCTACTAGCATCACCTCCACTCTACTACCAGCATCACCCTCCACCTGCTAGCATCACCGCTCCTCACTACCTCTGCTAGCATCACCGCCATCACTGCCTGCTACTAGCATCACCCCATCACTACCTGCTGGCATCACCACCCTCACTACCAGCTACTGGCATCACCCCTCCATCACTCCAACTACTAGCATCACCACTCATCACTACCTGCTACTGGCATCACCCGCCCTCCACTGCCTGCTGCTAGCATCACCGCTCTCACTCCTGCTACTAGCATCACCACTCCTCCACTACCAACTAGCATCACCACTCCTCCACTACCTACTACTAGCATCACCACCCCTCCACTACCTGCCTAGCATCACCACCCTCCATTACACCTACTAGCATCAGCTCCTCCACTACCAACTACTAGCATCACCACCCTCCACTACCAACTACTAGCATCAACTCCTCCACACCTGCTACTAGCATCACCACTCCTCCCACCAACTACTAGCATCACCACCCTCCACTACCAGCTACTGTCCACCACCTCCTACCTACTAGCATCACCTCCTCCACTACCTACTACTAGCACCCTCCTCCACTACCTACTCCACCACCCTCCCTACTACTAGCACCATCAGAGACCCGTTACTAGCAGTGGTGCCACACCCTGTCCCCCCCCTCCTTCCAGTAGACGTGTTGGCACTTAGCTAGTACCTTCTCTTCCCTCCCTCATACCTGCTCTATCCCATCCTCCCTTCTGTCTCTTACCCTCCTCCTGTCTGTTTTCCACCTCCTTCCTCCCTACTACTTTTGTCTCTTCTGTTTCTTCCTCCTCCTACCCTCCCCTATTCTTCTCTCCCTACCATTCTCTTCCTCCCTCCTCCCTATTCTTCCCTCCCTCCCTCCCTCTCCTTCCCTCCCCCCTCCCCTCTCCTTCCCTCCCTCCCCTCCCCACTCCTTCCCTCCCTCCCTCCCCTCTCCTTCCCTCCCTCCCTCCCACTGTCCTTCCCTCCCCTCCCTCCCACTGTCCTTCCCTCCCCTCCCTCCCCTCTCCCTTCCCTCCCTCCCCTCCCTCCCTCTCCCTTCCTCCCCTCCCTCTCCCTTCCCTCCCTCCCTCCCACTCTCCTTCCCTCCCTCCCTCCCTCTCCTTCCCTCCCTCCCCTCCCCTCTCCTTCCTCCCTCCCTCCCTCTTCCCTCCCTCCCCTCCACTCTCCTTCCCTCCCTCCCTCCCCTCCCCTCTCCTTCCCTCCCCTCCCTCCCCTCTCCTTCCTCCCTCCCTCCCACTCTCCCTTCCCTCCCTCCCTCCCTCTCCTTCCCTCCCCTCCCTCCCCTCTCCTTCCCTCCCTCCCTCCCTCCCCTCTCCTTCCTCCTCCCTCCTCTCCTTCCCTCCCTCCTCCCACTCTCCTTCCCTCCCTCCCCTCCTCTCCTTCCTCCCTCCCTCCCCTCTCCTTCCTCCCTCCCTCCCACTCTCCTTCCCTCCCTCCTCCCCTCTCCTTCCCCCTCCCTCCCTCCCCTCTCCTTCCCCCTCCCTCCCTCCCTCCCCTCTCCTTCCCCTCCCCTCCCCTCCCTCCCCTCTCCTTCCCTCCCCTCCCTCCCTCTCCTTCCCTCCCCCTCCCTCCTTCCCTCCCTCCCTACCCTCTCCTTCCTCCCTCCCTCCCTCCCCTCCTTCCTCCCCTCCCTCCTCTCCTTCCCTCCCCTCCCTCCCCTCTCCTTCCCTCCCTCCCTGTCCTCCTATACCTCGTCGCCACAGCTCTGTACCACTTCCCTGCATCTGACATTAATCTGCAGGCAGAGTGTGGTTGGTTAGGTTGGGTTACTGTAGGATTGGATTAGGTTAGGTTAGTGTTGTGGTGGAATAAAATGGGGTGACTAATTCAGGTGACCCAAGAGATTCCTCTAGACTGGTTGACGTAACCCTAAACACACACACACACACACACACACACTTACACACACACACACACACACACATCCCTAACCTTAACTAGATATATATTCACCTGAGGTATTTCTCATTTAACGCTGTGGGAATATAATCCTTCAGTAGTGAGGATGCGGCCAACCTTTTATCACGGACACGGGTTTTGTTCAAACACGAGAGAATACATTCTGTGTGTGTGTGTGTGTGTGTGTGTGTGTGTGTGTGTACAGTAACGTTCACATTATGACCCCTAGCAACACACGAGACAGCGAGGCAAAACATGTCATCTATTTTATTCTCATATTGATATCATGTCTATTACTTTACACATTATAACTATATTAAGCGAGATACAACTGTCCACATATATTAGACGTAAGAAAAAAATAATACATGTTTTTAATAGGTCACAGGTGCTTAGCTAAAGGGTTAGGTTAGGTTAGGTTAGGTAAAGATTATATTTTAGTTTTGGGAATGTCTTTGATTGTATATATTCACCATTGTGGTCTTTATTCTTCGTATATTTCCATTTATAAATAAGTATTAACGTTGTCTTTCTTGAGTTTAATTGTTGCAGCCGCCATTCCAGTCTCGCTCAGTCACGTTCTTGAGTAACCCGTTTAGGAATCCTGTCAGTGTGTCCTTGTTCACCCTGGGGGAAAAAAATATATAATACTGTATCCTTTCATTTGTCATCTGGCAGAGAGGGTCGCCTGGTTGTCATTAACGAGCATTCCGTAAATAATGGCGTTTATTTAGTTGGCGAGGTTATTCCCGCTTGGTGGTGAGGTCACAGGTCACAGTCGTAATTCTTGACGACGAAAATTGGATGATGGGAGGAAGTTTGTTGGTCGTGTTTACTGCCATTTATCACGTGATCTGACTCTCCTCACCCCCATCCTCACCCTCACCTCACCTCACCCCCACCCCTCAACCCCACCCTCACCCCTCACCCCACCCCCACCCCCTGCTCCAGGATAAACACATTCCGGCATCTTGTTCACTTTTATCACAAATAAATTTTTCTTTCTTTGTTTACGTCGGTGTTATCATGAACGAGCACAGATGTAATGTGTTTTAGTTTAGTTTATTATACTGTTTCTTGATTTATCATTTTTACCACTGCACTTATCAGGCTGTATGTCAGTATCTGTATTACACTGTCAGTATCTGTATCACACTGTCAGCATCACCTTAAAAATCCTGTATTATAAAAATGTAGTTCTAATATACGTTGTTCTCCCCCTTCAGGAGCCTTCAGTAGTGGCGGTACCTCTACGGGGCCACGACTTCACGGGACTCGGGTTCAACATCTCGGGAAACATGAGGGATGGCATCTTCGTTAAAGACGTATTACACCGCGGCCCCGCCTCTGAATCTGGCAACATAGCGCCGGGTGAGTCAACTAATCTTCCCTGATGCTACAACAACCTCACTACAGACACTGAGATCAAGGAGTAGATGTCTTTGTGGATATAATGAGAAATATAATATTAGGTTGGATTAATAGATAACCAGGTTGCTTAGCTGTGTAAACATTGGAACGTATTTTAGTGTAAAGGAGTTAGTTATATCTCATTCTTATTTTTGTTTATTTTACATGTTAATACTTTTTATTTTTTTGTGTATTTTCCTATATTCGTAAATTTAAAATAACTTGGGTACTTAGAAGACATATGGTATATGGTTGGACTTGCTTGTAAACAGTCTTAAACGGGCTAATTGACCTGTCTGTACTTAAGCGGACACCTGGCCTTGATCTTTCCTTGCTAGATTAAGTAATATGTAAGCAGAAAATAATGGATATAGTAAAAAAAAAGAATAAATGTATAGTCAATTTCACATGTAAGATGATTCTATAGCAGTTTGTAAAGAAGGTAAATAATCAGTTTAGAAGACATAGAAGACACGATAGAGAGTGATGTCTGAAGGGTGTCTAGGGTAGAGATATATCATCTATTATATCAGTGTGTAATGTTCGTGTTGATCAGGTGACCGGGTGCTGGGCCTGGCGGTGAGCACGGAACATATGGTGCATGAAGACGCCCTCACTCTCCTCAGTTATGCATCGCCTTACCCGGTGTTACTTCTGCTGGAGAAATCAATCCCTGGTACCGACCGTCGTCTCCCTAACACCAAGGCTGCCCGTCCAGTCCACCCCTTCTACAGGAGTCAGTCTATTGACGATCTGGCAAAGGTATTTTAAGTCACTTGGGGGCTGTCTACCTGTCAGCATTAACCTTCGCCCCGTGTTGAAATTCTACCAGATATATCAACTGTTTTTATTATAACAATAATAAGGAGTAATTGATAAAAACACTCGCGCGATGCTAAATTAACATGTACGTACCAAACATTTAACACAATCCATCTTCACACACACACACACACACACACACACACACACACAGCTTAAAGTTCTTCTACACTATAACCAAACATTATAGTTGTCATATGATGCTCCCTCTATCATTACTCTAAGTCTTTTTAAAGTAAAATAAGTCTTAAGGTGAAATAAATCTTAAGGTGAAATAAGTCTTAAGAAGAAATAAGTCTTACGGTGAAATAAGTCTTAAGGTGAAATAAGTCTTAAGGTGAAATAAGTCTTAAGATGAAATAAGTCTAAAGGTGAAATACGTAAGTCTTAAGATGAAATAAGTCTTAAGGTGAAATAAGTCTTACGGTTCAATAAGTCTTAAGGTGAAATGAGCTGCTGGGGAGGGGGATTATCTTCACTTGACCCATATTTTTTTAACAAATTAGGCCAATGTATTCTTTCCAGACAGTAGGGGATGAAATAACTGTAAAGTGTCATTATCCTGCTGTGATTCAGATGACCTGGTAGTGATTCAGATGACCTGGTAGTGATTCAGATGACCTAGTAATGATTCAGATGACCTTGGTAGTGATTCAGATACCCTAAAGTGATTCAAATACTCCCTAGTGTGACCCACGTAATATTCCCTGGCTGTGACCCCACTTAGTCAAACACTGAGGCACTCTTTTCCAGACTGTGTTCTCCTTGTCAGCCCCAGGTAGCTACAATTCTAATCTGCTCTTAGTGAAACTGTTCCAGTCAATGAGCTATTTGTTTTATCTGTAATTGTGTGTTTAATGTAAAGTCACGGAAATTATAATTATTTTTGGTGATTTTGTGTATCATTTAGGACACCTTTTGATCTCTTAACTAAACCAAATTCTACCCAGATTATGGTTAGGTTAAGTTTAGAGAAACATAGTACAGTATATTATTATTTGTTTTATTTAATTGTTAATATATGTACTAGTAACAGTCAACATATGTATAAAATCACTTGCTTTCTGCTAACTGATGTGATTGTGTTTATTTTACCCCCTTCAGAAATACATTAATCTTGTAGGCATTCAGTGTTGCATTATAGTTCGGTTAGGTTATGTTAGGTTAGGCTGGTACTGATGTTCTTTGTTTAATACAGGTGTTATCTACATAATTTGTCTTGTGTAAAGATCGTTTCAAACTTATTAAAATGGATATTTCATTAAATTGTCGCTATGCCGAAGATGAACACAACTTCTGTGATTTAACTACTTTCTTTTATACCTGTATCACCTGTGTTAATTAGTGTACAGTACTGTAAATATTACTGGATTGTGTAGTAAAAAGATTTGCATGAGAAGAAGTATTTTATAAGTGACAGTCGTGTTACACCTTGATGAATATTTGCAGATTGGTAAGGCGGACATGTGGCGGGTGAGCAGGGCGCGAGTATGTGAGGGACGCGTCGGTGTACCTGAGATGTCCCGCCCAGACCTGGTGGGCGGCGGGGTAGAGCTACCAAGCCTCAGACTCACCTCTGGCATCAACCTCCCTACTGCTGCTGCTGTTGCTGCTGTTGCTGCCCCCAGGGTAGAGGGTGGCGTCCTAGTCAAGCGGGAAGCTCCCGAGCGACATTCTGAACGTGCCATTGATGTTCCTGGAGCTGCAGTCACCAAGCCTTCTCACACCATTAAAACTGAAATTCCGGAAGTGCAATCAGAAAAATCCGATTCACGTTTAAAATTTGGCATCAAAGTGTTACCAGACTTGACAGGTAGAGTGCCTAAGCATGACTTGGACTTAGAATCTGGAGGAAAGATCTCGGCTGAGGTCAGTGCGCCCTCATTCGACCTACCAAAACCACAGGTCAATGTTGAAACAGAGGTCGACCCGTCTTTAGGGATAGAGGGCCCAGACGTGGCAGGCAAAAAGTCGTCAGGCATAAAGTTTGGGATTAAGCTTCCACAGATGAAATTTAAAGATAATGATGTGGAGGTTGAAGGCAGTAAGATGGCGGGCGTGCCTGAGGGCGGACACATAAAGGTGGTGGGTGAGGAGAATATCAATATCTCCCTGCCTGAAGCTGACTTGTCTGCTAGGACAGGAATAGTTCAGGACAAAATCACTCGTGAACCCAAGACTGACGATGAGAAGCAGAAGGCAAAAGGTTCGTTTGGTGTTGGTTTTGGCTTCAAGGGCCTTGGTCGAGGTCATGATTCTGACTCAGAGAATTTAGACGAGACAGGAGAAAAGGCAAGTGGAAAAGACTCTGGGAAATCCAAAGGTATTGGCAAAGTGGACTTTGGTTTTGGGTTAAAAGGCTTTGACAAAGATGATGATGATGATCACACTGCTGCCTCAGATGAAGAGAAAGTGAAATCTAAAAGCACCATTGGACTAAGTATTGATGCACCTGAAGTTCATCTGCCAGAAATAGATTATGAACGCAAGAAAAACACGTCTGGTGATGATGATGAAGCTTCAAAATCTAAAGGAGGTTCAGGTTTTGGCTTCAGCTTTAAAGCCCCAGAAATATCTATGCCACAGTTCAGTCTAGGAGGTGGAGCAAAAACCACAGATAAGGAAAATGACACAAAAAGAGACGATTCAAAAGAGGCTGACAAAGATCACAGTGACAAGGGTGGCTTAGCCTTCAGGATGAAAACCCCTGATATTAGCCTACCAGATTTTAGTCTTAAAAGAGGGAAGGGTGATATTAAGGGAGATTCTTCCTTGGAAACTGACTATAAAATGTTAGATATGAAGGTACAAAATAGCGCCAATGTAAGTTATAAGTCAGGAGAGGTGACTCTTCCTGGTGTGGATATAAACACCCGCGACGAGGCTGTAGGTGACGGTGACTCAGATAATGACAGTGACAAGAAAAGTAAAGGTTTTAGTTTTGGCCTGAAGGCTCCTGACTTCAGTTTGCCAAGCTTCAGTATGAAAGGCCGAAGTGAAAGTGATCAACATTCAGATAAGAGAAGTGATAAGCCCCCAGAACACGAAGAAAGTGAAAACAGAAAAGATTACCACGCCAGTTTACATGGCCCTGATGTTCAGCTTCCAAGTGTAGACTTTAAAGGCAAGGCGGAAGTGAGTGGATATGCAGAAGAAAAGGAAAAGGCGTCAGACGATGAAAGTGGTAAAAAGAAAAATAAGAAGAGCAAAAAGGGCTTTAGTTTTGGATTCAAAGCACCTGACTTTAACTTGCCAGGTATGGGGTTAAGAGGTCGTGGAGAAGGGAATGGAAACGAGGAGAATCAATGTTCCGATGCTGAAGACAATAAAGATAGTAGAAGTAAAAAAGAATACAGTATAGGACTTAAAGGTCCAGATGTCAGTCTCCCAAGTGCCGCCTTAAAGGTACATGGAGAAACTGATGACGTCGGTACAAGAAAATATACTGATGACGATGACAACAACACAGAGAAAGAAAAAAATAAGAAAGGATTTAGTTTCGGATTAAAAGCTCCGGATATAAATCTTCCAAGTCTTAACTGGAGAGGTCGTGGAGAAGGAAGCGAAGATGAAGATGAAAAGGTCAAACATAAAGAGGAAGGAGGTGACGGAAAAGATAGTTTCAAGAAAGACATTAATCTGGAGCTTCAGGGTCCAGACCTCAGTCTTCCTTCTGTTGATATAAAAGCTGGAGCACAATTAGATCTAGGTCATCAAGACAGAATCGAAGATGTATCGTATAAGGAAAAGAAATCCAAGAAAGGCTTCAGCTTTGGATTAAAGGGTCCAGATGTTAGTATGCCGAGTTTTAGTGTGAAAGGTAGTGGAAATGAAGAAATAGAAGAGAAGAAAGACTCAGATGATGAAGATAGCAAAGTCAAAGATAAGAAATCAAAGGAGGGCTTTAGTTGGGGTTTCAAAGGACCAGATTTTAACATGCCAAGCTTAAGTGTTAAAGGCAGTGCCCACGGAGATGAGAAGGATATCCAAGAATCAGGTGATGAAGATGACAAGGATAAGAAGTCAAAGAAAGGCTTCAGCTTTGGATTCAAGGGTCCTGATGTAAATATGCCCAGCATGAGTTTGAAGGGTCGTGGAGAAGGAAATAAAGAAGATATAGAAGACACAGATAATGAAGAAGGCAAAGATAAAGACAAGAAGTCAAAGAAAGGCTACAGCTTTGGATTCAAGGGTCCTGATGTAAATATGCCCAGCATGAGTTTGAAGGGTCGTGGAGAAGGAAATAAAGAAGATATAGAAGACACAGATAATGAAGAAGGCAAAGATAAAGACAAGAAGTCAAAGAAAGGCTTCAGCTTTGGATTCAAGGGTCCTGATGTAAATATGCCCAGCATGAGTTTGAAGGGTCGCGGAGAAGGAAATAAAGAAGATATAGAAGACACAGATAATGAAGAAGACAAAGATAAAGAAAAGAAGTCAAAGAAAGGCTTCAGCTTTGGATTCAAGGGTCCTGATGTAAATATGCCCAGCATGAGTTTGAAGGGTCGTGGAGAAGGAAATAAAGAAGATATAGAAGACACAGATAATGAAGATGACAAAGAAAAGAAGTCAAAGAAAGGCTTCAGCTTTGGATTCAAGGGTCCTGATGTAAATATGCCCAGCATGAGTTTGAAGGGTCGTGGAGAAGGAAATAAAGAAGATATAGAAGACAAGAAGATAACAAAGATGACAAAGATAAAGAAAAGAAGTCAAAGCAAAGGCTTCAGCTTTGGATTCATGGTCCTGATGTAACATGCCCTGTATGGAAAGTTTGAAGGGTCGTGGGAGAAGGAAATAAAGAAGATATAGAAGACACAGATAATGAAGAAGACAAAGATAAAGAAAAGAAGTCAAAGAAAGGCTTCAGCTTTGGATTCAAGGGTCCTGATGTAAATATGCCCAGCATGAGTTTGAAGGGTCGTGGAGAAGGAAATAAAGAAGATATAGAAGACACAGATAATGAAGAAGGCAAAGATAAAGACAAGAAGTCAAAGAAAGGCTACAGCTTTGGATTCAAGGGTCCTGATGTAAATATGCCCAGCATGAGTTTGAAGGGTCGTGGAGAAGGAAATAAAGAAGATATAGAAGACACAGATAATGAAGAAGGCAAAGATAAAGACAAGAAGTCAAAGAAAGGCTTCAGCTTTGGATTCAAGGGTCCTGATGTAAATATGCCCAGCATGAGTTTGAAGGGTCGCGGAGAAGGAAATAAAGAAGATATAGAAGACACAGATAATGAAGAAGACAAAGATAAAGAAAAGAAGTCAAAGAAAGGCTTCAGCTTTGGATTCAAGGGTCCTGATGTAAATATGCCCAGCATGAGTTTGAAGGGTCGTGGAGAAGGAAATAAAGAAGATATAGAAGACACAGATAATGAAGAAGGCAAAGATAAAGACAAGAAGTCAAAGAAAGGCTTCAGCTTTGGATTCAAGGGTCCTGATGTAAATATGCCCAGCATGAACTTGAAGGGTCGTGGAGAAGGAAATGAAGAAGAAAAAGAAGACACAGATAATGAAGAAGACAAAGACAAGAAGTCAAAGAAAGGCTTCAGCTTTGGATTCAAGGGTCCTGATGTAAATATGCCCAGCATGAGTTTGAAGGGTCGTGGAGAAAGAAATGAAGAAGAAAAAGAAGACACAGATAATGAAGAAGACAAAGAAAAGAAGTCAAAGAAAGGCTTCAGCTTTGGATTCAAGGGTCCTGATTTCAATGTGCCAAGTATGAGTGGCCGACATGATGAACAGGGAAAAACTGAAAGGAAAGTGGAGAAAGACTTGAGCTTTAGGGTAGAGGCCCCACAGGTAACATTGCCAAGTGCAAACCTAGAAGTTGACAGTAGAAATATTGAAGTGGAAGAGTATATATCTGAGAAAGAAAAGAAGAAATTATCTACAAGGGGATTCGGGCTGGGATTCAAAGGCCCTGACATAAATCTTCCTACCGTTAACTTACGGGGCCACCGTCATGGAGGTGAGGCAGTGGAAGACTCGGATGATGACGACAGTAAAGACAAAGATAAGAAATCGAAGAAGAGAGATTTTGATTTCGAACTCAAAGGCCCAAATGTTAACCTTCCCAATATGAGTTTGAGAGGACGTGGAGAAGGTGCAGGGGGAGAGTTTGATCACGAGGATGACAAGATTAAGGACAAGAAATCTAAGAAAGGTTTTAGTTTTGGGTTTAAGGGTCCTGATGTCAGTTTACCCAGTGTTAGCTTGAGAAGTCGTGGACAAGGAGGTGACGAGGAGCAGGAAGAGGAACCAGACGATGATGATGTTGGTAATGATAAAGATAAAAAATCAAAGAAAGGCTTCAACTTTGGATTCAAGGGTCCTGACGTAAATATGCCCAGCATGAGTTTGAAGGGTCGTGGAGAAAGAAATGAAGAAGAAAAAGAAGACACAGATACTGAAGAAGACAAAGAAAAGAAGTCAAAGAAAGGCTTCAGCTTTGGATTCAAGGGACCAGATGTTAGTTTACCTAGCATGAGTTTGAAGGGTCGTGGAGATGGAAAGGAAGAAGAAAAAGAAGACACAGATAATGAAGAAGACAAAGAAAAGAAGTCAAAGAAAGGCTTCAGCTTTGGATTCAAGGGTCCTGACGTAAATATGCCCAGCATGAGTTTGAAGGGTCGTGGAGAAAGAAATGAAGAAGAAAAAGAAGACACAGATACTGAAGACAAAGAAAAGAAGTCAAAGAAAGGCTTCAGCTTTGGATTCAAGGGACCAGATGTTAGTTTACCTAGCATGAACTTGAAGGGTCGTGGAGAAAGAAATGAAGAAGAAAAAGAAGACACAGATACTGAAGAAGACAAAGAAAAGAAGTCAAAGAAAGGCTTCAGCTTTGGATTCAAGGGTCCTGACGTAAATATGCCAAGCATGAGTTTGAAGGGTCGTGGAGAAAGAAATGAAGAAGAAAAAGAAGACACAGATACTGAAGAAGACAAAGAAAAGAAGTCAAAGAAAGGTTTCAGCCTTGGATTCAAAGGTCCTGATGTAAATATGCCCAGCATGAGTTTGAAGGGTCGTGGAGAAGGAAATAAAGAAGAAAAAGAAGACAGAGATAATGAAGAAGACAAAGAAAAGAAGTCAAAGAAAGGCTTCAGCTTTGGATTCAAGGGACCAGATGTTAGTTTACCTAGCATGAACTTGAAGGGTCGTGGAGATGGAAAGGAAGAAGAAAAAGAAGACACAGATAATGAAGAAGACAAAGAAAAGAAGTCAAAGAAAGGCTTCAGCTTTGGATTCAAGGGTCCTGATGTAAATATGCCCAGCATGAGTTTGAAGGGTCGTGGAGAAGGAAATAAAGAAGAAAAAGAAGACAGAGATAATGAAGAAGACAAAGAAAAGAAGTCAAAGAAAGGCTTCAGCTTTGGATTCATGGGACCAGATGTAAATATGCCCAGCATGAGTTTGAAGGGTCATGGAGAAAGAAATGAAGAAGAAAAAGAAGCCACAGATAATGAAGAAGACAAAGAAAAGAAGTCAAAGAAAGGTTTCAGCCTTGGATTCAAGGGTCCTGATGTAAATATGCCCAGCATGAGTTTGAAGGGTCGTGGAGATGGAAAGGAAGAAGATATAGAAGACAGAGATAATGAAGAAGACAAAGAAAAGAAGTCAAAGAAAGGCTTCAGCTTTGGATTCATGGGACCAGATGTAAATATGCCCAGCATGAGTTTGAAGGGTCATGGAGAAAGAAATGAAGAAGAAAAAGAAGACACAGATAATGAAGAAGACAAAGAAAAGAAGTCAAAGAAAGGCTTCAGCTTTGGATTCAAAGGTCCTGATATAAATATGCCCAGCATGAGTTTGAAGGGTCGTGGTCATGGTGATAGAGAAGAAAAACAACAATCAGAAAATGAAGAAAGTCTCAGAAAAAAAGAGTTTGGATTTGATGCTCAGTATGCTGATGTAAATTTACCATCAGTAAACATGAAACTGACTGGTGAGGCAGAAGGACCTCGGGTGGCAGAGGCTGGTGCTGGGTACAGGATAAAAAGCAAAGAACATCGAAGTAAAGAAGAATTTGGCTTGAGTATGAAAGGCCCAAATATTAACCTTCCCAATGTGAGTTTGAAAGGTCGTGGAGATGGGAATGAAGAAGAAAAAGAAGACACAGATAATGAAGAAGACAAAGAAAAGAAGTCAAAGAGAGGCTTCAGCTTTGGATTCAAGGGACCAGATGTTAGTTTTCCTAGCATGAACTTGAAGGGTCGTGGAGATGGAAAGGAAGAAGAAAAAGAAGACTCAGATAATGAAGAAGACAAAGAAAAGAAGTCAAAGAAAGGTTTCAGCTTTGGATTCAAGGGTCCTGACGTAAATATGCCCAGCATGAGTTTGAAGGGTCGTGGAGAAAGAAATGAAGAAGAAAAAGAAGACACAGATAATGAAGACAAAGAAAAGAAGTCAAAGAAAGGCTTCGGCTTTGGATTCAAGGGACCAGATGTTAGTTTACCTAGCATGAACTTGAAGGGTCGTGGAGATGGAAAGGAAGAAGAAAAAGAAGATACAGATAATGAAGAAGACAAAGAAAAGAAGTCAAAGAAAGGTTTCAGCTTTGGATTCAAGGGTCCTGATGTAAATATGCCCAGCATGAGTTTGAAGGGTCGTGGAGAAAGAAATGAAGAAGAAAAAGAAGACACAGATAATGAAGACAAAGAAAAGAAGTCAAAGAAAGGCTTCGGCTTTGGATTCAAGGGACCAGATGTTAGTTTACCTAGCATGAACTTGAAGGGTCGTGGAGATGGAAAGGAAGAAGAAAAAGAAGATACAGATAATGAAGACAAAGAAAAGAAGTCAAAGAAAGGCTTCGGCTTTGGATTCAAGGGACCAGATGTTAGTTTACCTAGCATGAACTTGAAGGGTCGTGGAGATGGAAAGGAAGAAGAAAAAGAAGATACAGATAATGAAGACAAAGAAAAGAAGTCAAAGAAAGGCTTCGGCTTTGGATTCAAGGGACCAGATGTTAGTTTACCTAGCATGAACTTGAAGGGTCGTGGAGATGGAAAGGAAGAAGAAAAAGAAGATACAGATAATGAAGACAAAGAAAAGAAGTCAAAGAAAGGCTTCGGCTTTGGATTCAAGGGACCAGATGTTAGTTTACCTAGCATGAACTTGAAGGGTCGTGGAGATGGAAAGGAAGAAGAAAAAGAAGACACAGATACTGAAGAAGACAATGATAAGAAGTCAAAGAAAGGCTTCAGCTTTGGATTCAAGGGTCCTGATGTTAGACTGCCTTATACTGGGTTAAGAGGTAGCGTGGAAGCTGACAGATATCACGGCAAAAAAGCCATTTACATAGATGGGGACGATGTACACGAGACCAGTAAAAACTTTAATGTTACTTTGCAAGGCCCTAACATAAACATGCCTTCAGTAGACCTGGGAGCTCGTGGCCAGGCTTATAGTTACACCAGAGAAAGAGATGGTGACGATGAGTATCCTGAAGAACAAGAGAAAAAATCCAAGAAAGGTTTTAGTTTTGGATTGAAGGGCCCTGATATTAATCTCCCAAGCTTTAACTTACGAGGTGATGGGGACGGAAGTAGAGAGGACAATGATAAAGATGATGATAAAGATGAAATGAAGAATGAAAGCAAAAAGTCCAAGAAAGGTTTTAGCTTCGGGTTAAAAGGCCCCGATGTGAGTCTTCCAAGTGTGAGTTTGAGAAGTCGCGGCCGTGGAGATGAAGACAACAAGGAATATAACTCTGGTGATGAAGAAACTGAATCCAGACGAGACTTCAAACTCCAACTTAAAGGAACAGAATTTGAAGTTCCCAATGTGAATCTGGAGGCTCGTGGCGAACACGACCGAGGCGATAATGAGAAAGATTCAGATGACGAGAATAAAGACAAGAAATCCAAAAAGGGCTTTAGTTTTGGCTTTAAGGGTCCTGACATAAACCTACCCAGCTTTAGTTTGAAAGGTCGTAGTGATCAGATAGAAAAAGAAGATTCAGACAATGAAAAAGGTATTGTTGATGATGATGATGGTCGGAAAAATAAGAAAGGTTTTAGTTTTGGATTAAAGGGACCTGATGTTAATCTTCCAAAAGTAAACTTAAAAGCTAGTGGACATGGAAATCTAGAAGGCAGAGAAAGACATTCACAAGCTGAGATTAAAGCCAGTAGCGGGTTTAGATCTAGTCTTAAAGGTCCTGATATGAGTGTACCCAGCGTCTCCGTTAGTGGGCGACAACACAGAGGTGACTTTGAAGTTACCCATGAGAAAATTGACAAGAATAAGGTTAATCTTAATTTCAAAGCACCTGATGTAAACTTCCCCACAATGAATGATGGAGTGTCAGGAGACAAAGTGTCAAATTCACCAAAGAATAAACAACACGATGCCAGCTTCAACTTAAGAGGTGAGCGCACTGTAGGGATTTCTATAAATACTCCGGACTTACCAGGTTTCAGCCATACAGACAATAAGGACAAGGATAATTCTGGAATCACGTTGGACAAAGACCACAGCACAAGCTTGAAATTACAGTCCTCTAGTTTAACTATGCCATCATTATCCAGTGGATCAGTTAGTGTGGCTACTAAACAGAGCCAGAACATTAACATGGATATCCCTGATGCCAATCTTCCTGATGTTAGGATGAACATTGCCCACAGCCAGCAGGAGGATAAAAGTAATGCTTCAAAGAAAACAGACAGATCAGGTTTAAGTTTTCAATTGAACACTCCTGAAGTCAGTCTACCTGACTGGAATCTCCGTCTTGGACAAAAGGGTGAGAGGACCAAAAAGTTGGATGTGTCTGGAGACCGCAGCTTCCAAGCTGACCCTGAGGCAATGGGCGTCAGTGTTGGGAAAGTCGTTCAGTCTCACGCCACGGGCCTGGCTCAGGAGATCGAGAATGAACTCCAGTCTCGCAACTTTGGTGTTGAGGTACAAGACCTTGATATTGAGTGTGACCTACCAGAGGCTGATATTGACCTGAAGAAAGCTAAAATTGACTTGCCAGAAGTAGACCCAGAAACGGGAATTATGGGGGCCAGATATTCAGGTAAGACACCAGAGGGAGACCGTCCAGAGGCAGAAGGCAGGAGTTCATCTGTAGAGACCACCAGACTCCCCCCTGGATTTGGTATGGCTTTTGGATTTAAAGGCTTTAAGAAGCACATTGGTCTCGAGTCTCGAGAGAGTGGTGTCCCGAGCATTGAAACTGACACGAACAGCAGTAATATGGACGTACAGTTTGAGAGTCCCACTGTGGCCATCCCTGAGGGTACCGTCGCTGCTATGAAGAGGGAGATACTAGAGGCAACCAGTGAAGTGTCAAGCCCACACACCCGACACTCTGCTGGCATGGCAGGAGATATGTCTTATAGAGGTATGAATGTCACACTGCCTGAGACCGAGACATCAGTAACACTTCCTGAAGGGGTGCACATCAAAACAAGCAAACCTTCCTATATGGCCGAGAACACACAAGTAAAGATTAGGGCGAAAGCTCCGGCTGTCCCAAGTGTCACACCAGAGGAGGAGGAAGGAGATAAAGCAAAAGTAAAATCTAAATCCAAAGATGAGGAAGATGATGAAAAGACAAAATCAAAACATAAATTCGGTCTTGGGTTTGGATTCCGGGGATTCAGCCGATCGTCAGACAGTGAGGATGACACCCGAGAACCTACGTCTCTCACACCAGATCCTGACCGGCCTGAAGTTAAGGATGACAAAAAGAAAGGTCGCGGTAAGATGAGCTTTGGATTTAAAGGCTTCTCGCGGTCATCTGACACAGAGGAAGAAAATTCAGAGAAAGTTTCTGAGGTGCCAATGGATAAAGATGGAGATGATGATAAACCTCGACCCAGAGTGAAGGGTGGGTTAAACTTTGGCTTTAAGGGAAGAGGCAGTAAAAATTCTGACTCGGAAGATAACAATGACCAAGAACGAGTGGGGACTGACCCTCAGGCTGATTCCGGAAACATCAAGCAGAAGCTGAAACCCAGTCGAAGCTTTGGTTTCAAGGGTAAGAGCAAGAGTTATGACATGGATAGTGGAGAAGTTGAAGCTGAGGTTGCTCGCCGGGAACCAGAGGCCGAGGAGGAGATTAAAATCAAGACCAAGTCCAGCCTTAACTTTGGGCTAAAGGGTTTTGGGAAGAATGAAGGAAAGTATGATATGAGGTCAGATTCTGAAGGAGGGGAAGCCGATGAAAAGCGATCACTGGACACACGTGGAGATGATGGCCCACGAACGAAAACACAGAAGGGCCTGGGCTTTGCATTCAGGAACCGGAGTGGAAGGAATACTTCTGATTCTGAAGGTGTTGAGGCTGAGGAACGGGTAGATTATGACACTCGTGGTGGCGAGGAGAAAGTTAAAGAGCACAAGAGTAAAGGTATTCGATTAGGGTTTAAAGGCTTTAAAAACCTGAAGGGTAAAATCCAAACTGAATTCAACCGCATGCGACACGACAGTCACTCGAGTGAAGATGAAGCAACACGAGAGGGCACTGTCAATGACCATCCAGGAGCAGCTGAGACCAAGAGAAAAAAGAATGCCAAGAAAAAGAAAGATAAAGACAAGAAAAATAAGAAAGAAGATGAAGACATTCTTAACACATCCGAGGAGAACGCTCTAGCTCTTGCTGCTGCTGCCGCTAAGGACAACAGAAGAAAACGCCAAGAAAAAACAAGCAGCTCATCATCGACCAGTTCTTCATCCAGCTCCGATGAAGAGAACGAGACTCCCACAGACCTGAAGAAGAGAAAGCGCAACAGAGGGCGTGGCCGCCATGTGCCAACGGGCATGACAGAAATAACCATCAATGAGCGACCTGTTGATGTTGAGGTGAATGAGACTGTTGAGGTAACAGCCCGCCAGGTGGATGTGGTGTTACCCTCGTTGTTGAGCACGCAAGAGTTGTCATACCCCGATGAGAGTGACATCGTTCCGTCTAAGCGTCGTGCTCCTGAACCCCCTCAGCAGGCACCTGTTCCTGCCACTCGGAGCAACATAGTAGTGCGTGAGGTAAAACTGAAGTCTTATCAGCCTCCAATAGGAGCAACGGAGATAGTAGAGGTGATGCAGAGGACTGTACTTGAGCGACGAGTTCCCTCAATGCCTCTTCATGACGAAGTTTCAATAGCCTCCGATAGTGAGGGAGAGCGAGCCATTATTAGAGCTGAAATACAACCAGTAATATCGTCGACACCAAGACACCCACCTACAGACTCTGAAGAATTAAAGCGTAAAGCTGCTTCTCTGGGAGATCTATCACGCTTACATACAGAGCCCGACACTGTCAACGTTGTATTGGAACGAGCTGTGTCCTTGGACCTAACACGTGCTGAAGCAACGGCCTCTGCACATAATATCTCTGGTTTTAACCGTCCACGTCGCTTGCAACTTCCTAACTCCTCTGCAACTTCTATAGAAGAAGAGGCAGTGACGGTGGGACTGCGGGCGGAGGGCGGAGCTGGCCTGCGACGTGCAGAACAATGGGGGACGCTGGAAGAAGCATTGCTCTTCAGAAGAAACAGCAATAGTAGTTTAGCTGAGGCTGTATCTCCACGAATAACAGAACCTGAAGGAGAACCTGTCTCACACATCGAAATTAGTGGTTCAACGTCTGTCACAGACATCTCGAGCCAATGGGTGACTGCCTCAGAGACGTCCAAAAACAGCATCAGCTTCCAGCACAACAACAGGAGTGAGGAGCACGAGGAACCTCCAGCCCTGCCCGCCACGCCGGCACCTGTAGGTGGTACCACCATTACGCTGCTCGACGGTGACACTACAATCATGGGTAGCTCTGTTGATGTCATGCCCGTCACAAACAAAGACCGTGTGGTTGTGGTACAGGCACACCCGCCTTCACCTCCAGAGAGAAAAATAAGTAACTTCAGTGTTCAGCTTCGCCACGTCACCTCTCACCAGACAACTCATACTCACAAAACAGTCACAAGCAGTAGCTGTAGCAGCAGCCGCAGTAGCCTCAGCAGTGACAGTGAAATTGAAGCTGGAATGGCTGGTGAATCTATTAAAAGAGAAGGAGTAACAGTGACTGTGGCACCTCGGATCAGCAGTGTCGATGTAGGCGGCTCTATTTCTTCGTCCCTGCCGCCCCCCGTGCCACCCAAACCTCGCACCTCACGCACTCAGTCGCCGCCCCAGCTGGTAATGGCACGTCATGAGCCCGCACTGGTGACTGTGAGGGAAAATGGCGCCGTGGTTGTGTCAACTGATAACCTCACCCACCTGGAAGGCGCACCCATGGACCACGTCACATCAGAAAATGTCAGTATTGAGACTGTTAACATCAGTGGCGACACCATCATAGTGGACTCACCAGAGAACGGCAGTAACTTCCCCGCCTATGTGTTACGCACCGACATGGCCAGCCTACCCCAGAAATCACTCACCCAGATAACAGTGGAGGGGGGAGGGTACACGGTGAACGAGGGCGCCCTCAGCCAGACACTCATCATATCCACGCCGGCACACCACCACCACACCCCACCCGGCCCAGACTCCCCGCCACCCACACTACAGCCGCCACAGTAGTGGTCCTAATTGGCCAGGCCAGGCAGCCGCCTTGGGTGTGCTGGCCACCGGAACTTGATGACAAAGAGCAACGCTGACGAAGGCTTACTGTTGCCGCTAGTCGCGTCACCGCTCACCATGACCTGATGCTGGAAAGATACCAGGTGACGGCTGGTGGTTACAGTCATCACCAAGGAACTAATCAAAAACTGTTGTCATTGCAAGACGCACTTTGCTACAGCTTGTAAGAGGTGCACACATGGTGTGAGTCACTCTGCTGCACCATCACTGCCCTCTGGGGAAAACCCCAATCATTCAAATCAAATTATTTATATTCAAATAATACGTAAGTTCAAATTTCTTGCTCTACAATTAAATTTTATATATGTTATTAGTTGTTTTCAGTATGTTTTACTTCTTAAGGTCGTTGGTAATGCAAATTGTTAGTGTACTGTACGACTGTTATACACATTTGTAAAAAAGATACAATCGACGCATTTAACATATATACACAATCCTGACATTGTGTTTTTAAATAATCTTCATACGTTAATTTTGTGATGGTGATATTGCCAACTTCTCTCCCTCAAAACCAAAGCTTGCTTCTTGACCACTTCCACGCAGTTTTGACCAACCCGAAGTCACGCTATTTGCTCAAGCCCGCTTGTTCCAGTTTACTGACCATATCTTACTGACACTTTGTCAGTTCCCCCAAGAAACTTGTCCAATTTTGCTGAAAACTTGTCAGTTTTGATTCAACGTTTTCACTTCCTGCTAGCAACTTGTCAGTTCTCGCTGGAGAAATTGTCAGTTTTATTTAGAACTTTTCAATTCATGCTCTTACCGGAAGCTCTTCGGTAAATACCGGAAACTTGTCATATCTTACAGGAATCTTGTCATATCTCTTTTGGAAACCCGTCTTTAGGTTGTAGATTTGGCCACAGTCACTCTTTGCGGTCTTTGCCCGGATGAAAAGTGAGGCGTCACTCCCGGCCTGTGTTGTGCCTCCCATCCTCTACCAGGGTGCTATACGTAGTCCCAGTGTGACCCCAAGTATAGACTACCACCACCCATCTCCCACCAGGGTGCTGTGTAGTCCCGGTGTAGCCCTCCATGGTACAGACTACCATTCACTGGAAGATGACTCCCGGGTGCAATACCACGACTTAATGTACAATAATTATTTTATCTGCTTCTGACTATGGTAATTTGGGAGAACTTAATGATTAATATATACAGTACAGTAGATGCAGCGGTTGGAACAATCCACTCCTGCCTTACACCCAGTATGAGGAGGCCCACAAGGGATAAGAAAGCCACCAGGGTGTAAGATAGCCCTCTGGTTGCAAGGTGTGAGGTTGTCCCTTGGGTATGAAGAAACCCCAAGGTGTAAGGTAGCCCCCTGGATGTAAGATAAACCCCTGGGTAACTGTGGTAGCCC